TTTCTTTTATTCACTGTTAAAACATATTAATTTTTTTAAAACATGTAATATTTTTATACAAAAAATGTTGACATATATTTTTGTAATTCACAACAAATACATTATCTAAAAAAATATATTTGATATTTTTAAAAAATGACAACAATATATTATATAAAATAATTAAAATAATAATATTCTATAGTTATACAATATAAAAATAAGATGTAAATGATATATCTGAAAGATTTTGTTATATTTTTATAAAATGAAAAATTACCCGCACGGATGTGCGGGTTCAAAATCTAGTATCTGTTTATGTGATTAGTAATATTTCATGAATTTATAAGTTCACTAGCTATAACTCTTCAGTGAACTCATAACGATAATGTGAATATCTTCATGAAAAAATATCTCAACCAACAACAAATTAATTTAATGACTAAAACTATTGAATTACACTGTAGTAATTTTGTGAACTTATATGCTTACATTTCGATGGAAGTATAATTTCCAAAATAAAATTAAATTTCATAGTCTTAGAAAAATATACGGATCTAATTTTTTTTAATTATTCAAAAGAAAAGCTTAAATGTGTAGAACCACACTTGGAGTTGAATCAATGAAGGGGCATGTTTGCTAACTATTTATATACATGGACGGTTTTAGTTTATGTTTATAAATCTGTTGCTGTTGAGCGTGTTTTTGTCATGGTTTTCGAGCTTTATTCAAAATTTGAGGAAACTTGTCGTTAGCTGTGGACTCATAACGATAATGTGAATTTTTATATAGAGTACTATATATTTGACCAATGTGATGGATTGTTTCACAAGCGACAAATTAAACTTTTAAAATAGTATAATCGAAATGGTTGTATAATCATCTTCTTCTTTCGAACTCGCGGTTAAAAATACTCTTTTGATTACAATGATTACCTTATTTTATTTCATAGTGCCTAGTGATGTAACCACGATTCTATTAAATTCTATAGAAAAGTCGTGTGCAATTCTAACAATAAAATAATTAATTTATACATTAACACAACCAAAACGGAGCTAAGAATAGTAGATTCAAATAATTGGCTAACATGAACAATTAGTTTATAAAGGCATCTCCAATAGAGCATTATTTGTTTCTCCATCTTTCACACTAAAACAGAATAACTCTATTATAGTGTTGAATTTGTTACAATGATTCACTTTATAATATAGTTACTCTATTATAGTGTGAATTATAGAGAGATAGTGGATTTTTACTCTATATTTGAAGTAAAAATGAAGCACCTCTCTATAATTCAAACTATAATAAAGTAATTATATTATAGAGTGAATCAGTGGAGCA